TATTGATTTTGATCATATGAAATTTTTATGTGTATCCAATAAAATAATAAACTTTTGTAGAATAAATGTTTTTCAATTTATTATTTCTTAATGTAAGGAAATCTACTGGTTTTTTTTTATCCCTGGATCGAGAAAATAATATGGGTGGACATCTGTATGTGCAGATTATGATTGTATATCTCGAGCGTACGAATCATCCGCACACGTACTATTTTTCCACTAGAAGGGATTGAGAGCCCATGGTTTTTTTCAACTATTGATGTGTGCTAGAAAATTTGCGGTCATAGCATAATGGATTATTGTCCTAGCATTGCATGAAAATTTATCATACACTCTGATAAAAGAAAGTAAGCAATGGTAACAGCAGAAGTTTTTATGTGGAAAACTCGTAAAGGGAAAAAATCACGAGACCTGATCCAGTTGTAAAAATCAACTATAAGTTGGTGATTACAGAGACTCATTTTCTGACAGACGGAAAAGATTTACAAAGTCTTCTGAATTACAATGTCGACGCACGATGAACTTGTTGTAAGAAGTGGGCGGCAATCGATAACGATCAGTGGAGGCCGACAAGTGGTGGTTAATGAAACGACAGTGTCCGACGATGGTCGGTGATGATTGATGGCGATCGACAACGATCGACGGTGGAAAAAACCACGATATCTGACCCAGTTGTAAAAATCTACTATAAGTTGATGATTACAGAGACTCCTTTTCCAGCAGCAAAAAAGAGTTACAAAGTCTTCTGAATTACAATGTCGACGTGCGATGAACTTATTGTAACAAGTGGGCAGCAATGGATGACGATCAGTGGAGGCCAACAAGTGGTGGTCGATGACGGTCGACAGTGGTCGACAATGGTCAGCGTTGATTGATGGCGATCGACAACGATCGACGGTGGTAAGAGTGGTGTTGTACTACAACTTCTTCTCAAAGCTTCAAGTTTGTTTCCAAGTCTCAACTCTCCTCCCCCTCTCATGAGAGGGGTGGGGCTCTATTTAAGGAGTTTTTGGTGCAACTAATGCATAATGTGAATTACTTTGATTGCATGACTCTGAGGACTTCCCTCGATCGAACAACAACTAATTAATATTTAAGTGTCTTAATGATGTTAGAATTAAGTGATATTGAGCAAATTGGATTCGTCTTATTAAGACACTCGATTTGACTATAGACTCGTCAGAATTAACATTCGTTTAACCTTCTACATATGTTTTCAAATGTGTCCAAAAAACTTTTTAAATTTGTTTAATGGATTGATCTGGTCCTGATTTGGTTTGGATTGAACCAGTATTGGTAACATTGGGTTCTTCATATCGAGCCGGTCATTTTAATTGTATGTTTACTGAAATCTTAGTACTGGATGATAATAAATTAGGTGAGTTAGTTTAATAATTTTCTTAATAATAAATATTGGTAATAAAGCACAAGTAATCTAAAGGCATATAACGCTCAATTCCGAAACAGTTTTATCCACTAATCTCCTCAACTTAAAAATCAGTTATTTAAATAATGCAAACTGTTAGCTAAAAATATTAAAAAAATAAAGAAGGGTTATTTTGATCCTGCATATTAAGATCGCTACGTTTATTTTTAATTAGTTTCATCATATTGCCAATCCAATAACTTACTTTTAGTTCTACCTGGTGTAAATTATTTATGTATTCTATTTATATTAAATTATATCTATTATTTTTTAGCTTCATATTAATTAAATTTTAATAAAAGAATTTAAATATAATTTTAAATGTGTGGCGGTATATAAATCAAAATTATGTTAGCACGAAACTTGAGAAAATCTAACAGATCAAAACACACATGATCAAAGAGGACTCAATCAAGTGCCAAAGTACATGCCGTGTGAGTTGAAAATTTAAGTCTATCATCTCAGTTCCCTCGAAGCTGGATCTGATGTTGATCGAAAGTCTAAAGAAATTGATCGACCAATAAGGGCGACTAAGTAATGATTCTGCCAATCGACAGATGATTCCAATTTACCGGCTAAGCGAACCAATTATTATGTCGAGCGGGTTTAATCAATCTATGGATTACAAGCCACATGCGATCGAGCGATGAGAAGAGCTAAGTAAAGGCATTTTTGTTTATTTATTTATTTTCTTGTTTATGTATGATTAAATTACCCGTAGTGCCTCTACTAAAATAAGGACGAGTAGGTAATTGTACTTCTATACCCTCCCCACCTTGTCTATAAATAGGGGGGTCATTTATACATTAAATGGCTAATGCATGAGTTGTAAAAACTCTATAAGCTACCATAGCGGTCACTCTCTCTTTCTCTCTCTCATGTCATAATATATTCTTTGGGTGTGATTCACATGACAATTTGTATTCAACACGGTATAAGGATTTCGTCTAATAAAATTCTCGAACATTTTCTTAATATGTTTTTGGTTATACTTGTGGTAAAAGCTTCCTATCCTATCAATAAGAAAGGGACATTTACTTACATAAAACACAATTCTTATGTGTTTACATATTTAATTCCTAATTTTTTTATATTTACATATACAACCCTCAAATCATTATTATCACATTAAAAATATCACTATTATTAAATTTTTGCAAGTGAACACATTTTCATACAAAATTTTATAACAACAAACTATTATAAATGTTTATATATATATATATATATATATATATATCAAATTTAAGTCTTAAATATGTAAATACATAAAAATTGTGTGGTAGGTATATAAATTTCCCCCCCAAAAAAAGAGTTATGTGAAGTTTTAATGGCTAAGACATTCTAATAATTTTTATGTTGATGCACAATTTATCACTGCCATATATTATATCACAAAAAAGCAATGGAACCGTACGTCTTGGCGCGCCTAATTACTAGCTAGTTATCCCAAATTATGTAATTTATTGGTTATTCTACAATCCGTTACGGTAAAGATAAAGATAACCTAAGAATTTTAAATTATACCTATGTTTTTTTTTTTTAAATTAAGTCATTAAAAACAAATTATTAGTCATGTTAAATGTTGAATCACACCAAAAGATGAGAAGGTTGTTTCAAAGAGAGAAAAGGAAATAGAGTGAGAGAGAGAGAGGAGTTGAGTGCATGGTGCATGGTAAGGAATTGTTCTTTAAAGAATGACTACTTGAATTAATCTTTTGCCATAGAAATTACCACTCTTTTTATAGGCAATAGGGGAGTTTCACCCTGCTTTTATGGGGGCGCTAGAGAGTATTTTAGAAATCTTTATATATATCTATAAAAGCCTATAGCTCGACTATCCTATCACTCGGCTAGTTTGGATATGTAGTACTTAGGTCTCCAAGGCTTGCTCGACCAATTTTACTGAGTTGAGTAGCCAGTGGACTTTGGTAATCATTTGGCCACTTGAACTTTACTCTTTGGCTTGAGTCAATATGTCGGCTGTTTCGATTCGGCTGTCGATGTCGATTGCAGTTGACCCCTGAATGAGAAACTCATGTTATTAGTACGTGACTAGGCTATTGGGCGGATTGTAGTATACCCTATTTGACAAGAGATCCAATATTCAAGGGGTGTTTAGTGATGAGAATCATAGGTCTCCAGAGTCTTGGAGACTCCTGTGAGGTGATTTGTGATATTAGGACGAGAGTTGGGCTGGTGCCCTCTTTCAGTTTGATGGGTCTCAGCCTTTGATTTGGGCAACCTTCATTAGGTCCCCTCTGAGTATTGCTCTAAGAGGGTTTCAGCTGGTCAACCCAGTTATTTGGTCTTCTATTGATGTGATGTGGCTTTTGATCTCCCTTCGAAGAGCCATCAAAAACAGTACGTTTATCTTTTAGTTCATTAAATTTCCTTGAGATTAGTGCTGGTGCATTATGGCATACATTAATATACATTAATAATGCTATCGAACCTTATATAAACATATTTTAAAGTTTAAATCATATATATATGTATATATATATATATGCATGCATGCAGGCATGTATGTATATATTTTGTGAATATAGTTATTACTAATACGATAAAAGATACTTTTGTCTAATCATAATGTCATTTTTACTAATTTATACTACTACTTTAATAACAAACATTATTAATCAAAATTGTAAAAATTGGACTAGATGTAAAATTAGAAGAATTAAGTGTTCAAGATTTAGTGGTTCAACTGGAGCTCAACCACATAATGTAATACATATTTAAATTATGCCAATATAATTTAAATAATAAAACAATGATATATTAATATCATTTTAATTGAATAAAAAAAACTAAGTTTAGAACAACACATTTCAATGTTTTGAACAATATTCTACATAAAAAAAATAAAGACGTGATATTTTCTCTATTTTTTATTTAAAAATTTTATTTATGGTCATCCAATCAAATCCAAAAGGCTAAAATTGGACAATATTTGAATGGATTGATATTTTGAAAATATAATTGGTTCACCAGTCCGTCGGTTCAACTTCGATATTAACCGACTTAATCCGACTGGTTGTATGCAGCGGTTAAGTTTGAATCAAATCGGTTGAATTATTGATTCACAATTGAACCGGCCAATACCAATAAACAAAGGTTCTTAAAATCATCACAATACAATAAAGAAAAATCCTATTAAAATATTATCTTTAAATTATGATTTTAAATTTAAAGCAGAAAAGACTTACTAATAATTTTATTAAAAAATCTTATCTCATTATAGTCAAAATATAAAGTATTCCAAAAAAAAAAAAAAAGGCTCAGCAAGAGTTCTAAAACCTAAAAATTTCTGGAAGCAAAAAGAATAACGGTCTAAACGGTGCAATAGCTCTGGGTTGCCATCATAGACTCGGAAGTTCCCGCAAAGAGACATTCTTGCACGTCACCCGTGCTCTTTTTTTCCGTCAAATTCCAGCTAACCCATTCAAAACTAAGGACGCGCTCCAATGGTCTAACGGGCCAACCATCAATCACCTCTCTCGAACACATCATCTCCCTCCGCCTATATAAACTCCTCTTGAGCTGACGCACCCATTCATATCTCCATTAATGCAACCTCCACAACGAGAAATTTGAACTCTTTTAGAATGACCACCTCTAAGCTTTTGTCCCCATTCCTCCTCCTCCTCCTCCTCCTCCTTGCCATTACTGTAAATTCCTCCTCCTCCTCCTCCTCCTCCTTGCCATTACTGTAAAATCAGACTTCAATCCAACACTTTCCTGCGCCCAAACACCATTTCCTGAACTCTGCAATTCCATGGTCAGCACTGCTAACCTGGCCAAAGAGAATGCTAGACTCAGTCTCCGAGACACGGCGATCCGAGCAACGATAGCCAGAGCAGAGCTAGCCCACCTGATCGCTTCAAAGATTGATGCTTTGTCCTTCCACCGGACCGCAAGGGCTGGCTGGGCTGACTGTCTCGAGCTCTGCGAGGACACCATCGCACAGCTCTACCGCTCTCTATCTAACACCTCTTCTCACGAAGATTCCCAAACCTGGTTGAGCGCCGCCGCCGCCAACCAGCAGACTTGCCAAGACGGCTTTTTTGAGCTCAATTCCTCCTTCGATCTTCACTCCTCCCCATTCTTATCCTACAACATCTCCAACGCCGTTAGCAATCTGCTCGCCATTAACAAAGCAACGGCGGCCGCGAAATCCGCCGGGGGAAACAGAAAGCTGCTTTCTGACGGTGGAAGCCGATTTCCGGCTTGGGTTTCTGCGGCGGACCGGAGGCTTCTTCAGTCGTCGGCGGTGAAAGCTGATATTGTGGTGGCGAAGGATGGGTCGGGGAACTATAAGACTATTTCTGAAGCTGTGGCCGCCTCCGCTAAACAGAGAAGCGGGAGTTCGAGGTTTGTGATACATGTTAAAGCTGGTATATATAACGAACAAGTTGAAATCAAATCGTCGATGAAGAATTTGATGATCGTCGGTGATGGAATTGATAAGACCGTCGTCACCGGAAGCAAGAATGTCGTCGATGGCTCCACCACCTTCCGCTCTGCAACTTTCGGTGAGCCAAAGAAAATTATATTTAGAATAATTACATAAAGAGCACAATAAACATTGCTATTTACAAATCAAACATCTAAGATAATTTTTTAAATTATTAAATAAATAACAGTTAGTTTGGCGCGAAGCCGGCCTTCGTAACTGTCAAATTGTTTTTTTGGCTGACTCAGACGGAAATATCATAACTTCACTAATATTAGATAATTAAAAATATCTCATCTTTGGAAGAAATTTATTGTCAAAAAAGTTTTTTGGTTGACTTTTTTTTATATAATTATCTTGCTTTTTTACTTTATATTAAAAATATATTTAAAGTGTTTTTTATTTCTAATTACCTACCTAAAATTTAATATGATCCATCCTGCCAAATCCACTTGCCTTACATAAAGTCAAAAACAATCCAAAATAATATATTATATGAAAAAAATTGAGTTTTATAGTTTTAAATCCGTTTTAAAATAGTATAACCCGTGATTAACTAATCATTAAAAATCATTTATTAGAATCCATTAACATAATAATTATAATTATGATCTAATTTCTGGACCAATATAAATTATTCAGCTGTAGTTGGTAGCGGATTCATCGCACGTGACATCACCTTCCAAAACACGGCGGGTCCTCAGAAACATCAGGCGGTGGCTCTCCGATCGGGCTCCGACCTCTCCGTCTTCTACAGCTGCAGCTTCAAGGGATATCAAGACACCCTCTACGTCTACAGCCAGCGCCAGTTCTACCGCAACTGCGACATCTACGGCACCGTCGACTTCATCTTCGGTGACGCCGCCGTTGTCTTTCAGAACTGCAACATCTTCGCCCGCAAGCCCATGAGCGGCCAGAAGAACACCGTCACCGCACAGGGCCGTACTGATCCCAACGAGAACACCGGAATCTCTATCATCGACTCTGTCATCGCAGCCGCCTCCGATCTCACCGGAAGCTCCGTCAAGAGCTACCTCGGCCGCCCATGGAAGCAATACTCGAGAACGGTTATAATGAAGACAAACATAGGGAGCCTCATCGATCCCGCCGGCTGGCTCGAGTGGAGCGGCAATTTTGCTCTCTCGACGCTGTACTACGGCGAGTATTTGAATTCCGGCGGCGGGTCAAGCACTGCAGGCCGGGTGAAGTGGCCGGGATACCATGTCATCACCAGTGCTTCGGAGGCCGGAAAGTTCACCGTTGGCAACTTTATTTCCGGCGATTCATGGATTCCGGCCACCGGCGTTCCGTTCACCTCCGGGCTTTAATTTGATTGGTTATTGGCTTATTGCACTCTACCGATTCCGTGATTGATTGTACTTCCCTTCGTTTTTGTTTACTTTTTAGTGGTGTGAGTAAATCAGTTCATATTTTTATAAGGAAGATTTACGTACATATCACTCAATTATTATGTATTTACATATGCAAGGGTTCAAATTCAACAAATTCAATTTTTATGTACACATCATCTTGTTTATATATGCATGAAAATATATGAATTTTTAGTTTTCAAAGAGTTAAATTAAATTGATGGTATTTTTATATGTGAAATGAAAGATTTGGGTGGCAAAAATTAAAAAAAAAAAGTAAAATTTAAGTCGTAGATACGTAAATTCAAAGGAATCGAGTGATATGTATGTAAATGCCCGTAATTTTTATAGATGCATAACTCATCTTCATCTAATCATTTGTAAAGTTAAGGAAATAATTAATTAGTTTATTGTTTTTTATAAGAATTTTTAACTGCAAATAACTTTTAGATTTATTAAATAATTATTGGCGTTATTGTATAAAAAGTAAAAAATGGGATAAATGGAAGGGGTCGGTCAAAAGGTTGAAAAATTATTCCATACGGTGCACCACGCAGAGTTGTGTGCGGTCAAAAAAGCTCGTTGTTCGCGAACAGTTCGTGCTCGGTTCGTCAATGAGTTCGTGAGTTCGTGGAGTTCGTGTTCGATTCGTTCGATAAGTAAACGAGATGAATGTGAACAAATTTTTTTAGATATATTAATATTAGGGATGTCGAACTGACTCGTCGTTCGAGAACAACTCATATTCGGCTCGTATTCGGCTCGTTCGTTAAGAAACGAACACGCGAGAACAACTCATGTTCGGCTCGTTCGTTAAGAAACGGACATTTTAAATAATTATATATATAAATTTATGAAATTTTAAAAAATTAAATTTAATAAATTATACTATATAATAAATTAATAATAATTATATATTAATATACTATATTAGTAATATACTAAAATATATATTATATATTTATATAATATAAGTTATATAATTAATATAATATATTATTTAGATATATTAATATTAGGGATGTCGAACTGGCTCGTCGTTCGAGAACAACTCATGTTCGGCTCGTTCGTTAAGAAACGAACACGAACAGTGACTTCACGAACAATTTCAAACACGATCTTATTTCAAATAAACTAAATTTCAAACGAACTGAATACAAACACAAGCTCTGTTCGTTCGTGTTCGGTTCGCTTACACCCCTAACGGTCAACCAATAAAAAACAAACTCTCACTTAAAAAGCGGCATGAAAGTGGGTCACGCTTTAAAATTTAAAAATTTTTAAAAATGATGTTTATTAGGTGGCATAAAATTATTGGGCGGCGTAGGTACGGATTCCGTACCGAATAAGCGCTCCAAAAGGTTTTTTCTTAAAGTTAATTTTACGTCTAAATTAAATATAACTTGAAATATATATGGTGGATAAAAGTCCTCTAAGGTTTTCCATATTTATTATATTAATCATAAAATGAATTTAAGAATTTTAATATTCACTATGATTAAATTATGCTCAAATTATTTTCTGCATTTATCCTTTTACAGCCGCTTCCAATTCATGTATTATTTACTATCCATCATGAAAAGGGTTGATGTATCATATGATTTAATGGTATTTATACAATATTCTAAAAATGAAATTTATATTATTCATCTATGTAAGGTTTAACAAAGATTTAACACATGATACGTCGTTAATGTAATTTAATATAATTTAAAATTATAGTCAAATAAAACAGGAGCATTTACATACATACCACGCCAATTCTTATGTATTTATATATGTAGCTTCTAACCTTTATTTTTACATTCGTACCTCCCAGAATTTTCATAGTGAAATACATCTTTTCATGCATGAATGGTATATGAAAACATTGAGATGTACGTGTTAATAATGTAAAAAGATAGAAATTAAGTCTTTTGTACGTAAATCTTCCAATGAAATATTACTCACGTGCCAATATGCACGCTTCGAAATGAACTTTAATTACCAAACCATCTAGCTAATGGACTAATCAAAACATTAGTTTATATATATAGATATATGTGCCGCAAGCCGTGGTATGGTGGTTGGCGCTTACGACATGATTCAAATGAGTTTTTAACAGTATAACGCTGGTTCTGAAGAAGATTTGGACAGCATTCAGCCAAGACCTGTAGCCATCACGTTGACTCGAAACCGATGGGCATTATGCTTCCACGTACCATATTTTGTCAAATTCCAGCAAATCCATTCAAATTTAAGAAAAGTAATCCCAAATCCAACCCTTTAACTAAGTTGATTTATGTGCTAACACTTAGTTTCCAAATGTCTCCATCAATCAGAAGGCCAACATATTTAAGGAATTCTCATGACCATCAGCACGCTGTATTGAGGTGAGAGCATGAACGGGCCAAGTATGTACGACGAACCTCCATGAGAGCTAATGGATAAGAAGGTAAAAGAAGTCCCATTAGCCTAATACCTAATGATTCAGTTGACCAGATAACAAGTCTCCAAATCATAGCTGGAGGCCGACCGGGTGTAGGGTACACCCGAACCAAGGACTAAGGTCAATCTAGCCGAGCAAAGGCATCGACCTATCTGTCATCACAAGCGGACTCAAGGGAAGAGTTTCCCTTGAGTCCGCTGTTTGTCAGCCATCTCGCTAACTAGAATTGACAACAAAATACCAGCAAACATTCCGAAGGATCGTCTCGTCATGAAATGAGCTATCTTTTGAATTACAGTGATTCACTCTCTGTTCAATAGTCTAGTTTTGTTATGTCGACAAGAATTATTCATCCAGAGATCAATAGTCAATAGCAAGAGCCGACAAACAAAACCAAACTGATTGATTGTAATCTTGCCAACCCGAAAACTATCAAAGGTCGACCGATAACTCTGATTAGGCACATTCGAACGAATATGTCTTGTCAAACCAATGCCACTGATTTTAGCTGAGCGAATCAGACGGTAGCCCAGCCGCAGACCCATACATATAGAATACCTAAAATATCTTGTAATGTTTTCATTAAAACAGTGGCAAACATGTAATTTCATATATTATACTCCTCAATAAATAAAAAAATTATTTTATAAGAAATAGCCAATCAACATTCACAGACACATAGCACTTCGACGAGGCTGGGCTAATTATCACCGCATTTAACCTTATCGTCGATTGGAAGTGTTATCTGCAACGGTTGGTATATTCCGACCACCACCTCATTAGCCACAGTTCAAGGCTTAAGCTTCAATTTTATTTGAGTTGTTTGACTAGTTATTATTGTAATTTATTTAATTATTTTATAGGATTTTTATGGTCTATTTACATTTGTTATTGTCAATTATTAAAAGTTTAAAAAATCAATATAAAGAAGATTGTAGTTTTTATTATAAATTTTATTGTCTGAATAATTTTTTAAAAAAATGGATTTAAGAACTGTTAGTTTAATAAATAATGAATATTTAAATATTATATGTAAATTTACTTTATTTATTTTTAAATGTAAAATGTAAATTTAAATACTCATTTCTATATGAAATATAATAGCTAATTATTCAATTATCACAAATATAAAATGAAAATTCTATATGACCACAAAGTAATATGTGTCATCAACAAATTTTTATCAAGCATGAATCGTTGCATTTTTTTATAAAATAGCTTCCAAATTCAAATCCAAGATCATCTGGGCCAAACTGCAGTAAGTTTATAATCAAATTGACCTTCTCAATAAGGCAAACCCAATGACGTCAAAATTTACTCAATCTTGGTCCAATCATAAGTAGATCATGTCATTGAAGCACAATTGACAATTTTGGATCAACAATTGAATTAGTCAAATAATCTTCAACTTTAACATATTTATAGCGCTGCAGGAATGTTGGCAATTAACATCTGTTTTAGCATCAGAAAGTTTTTGACGCAAAGTTTGTGTCGAATATAAGTCTGATTTCTAGTGAAGCTTATTATTGACGGTTTCGCATCGATACTTTGTGGACGCAAATCATTTGCATCGAAGTTTGTGTTGAACTTTTTCGAAGCATTATTTTTTACTTAATTGTGTCATCACATCGGATGATACTGTCAATGCTAATTTTTTTGCATCGAAAAAAGCTTATGCACATGCCCTAAAATTCTATTCTCTCACATGCTAGCCTTATTCTAGCTTCTACGATTAGATTGCTCTCTTAGGCCTCGGTGTGACGACTCTTCACCATCGAGTGTCCGGCGACTTTGGGGCATTTGCACCAGCGATTTCGTGACTCCAGCGAGTATTCATTCTCTTTGACTTTATATCCAAGCTAGGTAACCTTCTTTTATCAGTTAGGGCCTTCCTCTTCTATTTTTTTCGAAAAATTTATATTGGATATGTAATGCCTAAGAATAGAGTGATCCGAATAAAAATATTTTAAGTTTGGGTGTTAGATATGCAATACATAATTATTGAGTAAATGTGTTTAAAAATTGAAGGTTAGGTGTTAGAAATGTAGTACATAAGAATTGAGAGGTAAGTATGCAAAATTTGAAGTTTCGGTGTTAGAAATGTAAAACATCAGAATAGAGTGGAATGTATGTAAATTTTGAATGTTTGGCATTGGTAGACATGTAATACATAAGAATTGAGTGGTTTGTGTATAAGAAAATTGAAGTTTAGGTGTTAGATATGTAATACATGAGAATTGAGTGGAATGTATGCAAAAATTGAAGTTTAGGTGTTAGATATGTATATAATACATAAGACTCTAGTGAAATGTATATAAAAATTTAAAGTTAAGTGTTAGATATGCAATGCATAAGTAGTACATAAGAATTGAGTGGAATGTATGTAAAAATTGATGGTTATGTGTTAGATATGTAATACATAAAAAATGAGTGGTTTGTCTGGAAAAAATTATAGTTTAGGTTTTAGATATGTAATACATAAGAATTGAGTGAAATTTATGCAAAAATCGAAGTTTAGGTGTTGGATACATGTACAAAAAAATGTGTCAGCATGAACTTGAAGGGATTCAACAGTTTAGGACTGAAGAGTACGATGAAGGTTGGCCCACTATCAAGAGGCTGTGAGGCTCGTTTGACCGACTAAGCAAAGCCATATGAACAAAGCCAGCAAGGCTAACACCAGCCAAACTATGAAGCGAACATGAAGACGACCATATGATTAGAACCTAAACCATTTGGCTAAAAATGAGAAAAAAGGGCATCTGAGCCAACCACTACGATAAAGCCAATCTGACGTGATAGTCTGTTATCCTGATCCAGAGGAAGGTCTGATTTCACATTGTCTTCAAACATCCCAAGGATGCCTAGAAGTCACTCACTAGTTATCAAGGATTGAAAACCAAACTTGATCAGTTGATCAACCCTTGTCGACCAAGCTTAGTGGACGAGTTGATCCCATCCACTCACATCGACCAACCTTAGCTAACCGCTGAACCTGCCAACCTAAAGCCAAATAAGCTTAGCCAATCAAGCCAGAAAACAACTAGAGAATAAACCCATACAGGTGAAATATAAAAAAAGCGCTTTAATAGAAACCTCTTTAAAGTAAAGGCAAATATAATATCATTATTGTACCTCTCCTCTTTAAAGAGGGGGTTATTTTATGAATAAGATACAAAATATTACAGTTCACTTTTTTTTTCTCTATCTCTCTCTTCTTACGTACACTCTATTTCTTGAGTGTCATTCACAAGCGAATCATGATTCAACATCCTAAGAGATGCAGTGAACATGGATCATGTCACAAACAAAAAGAGAACTAACCCAAGGAGAAGAACCAACAATACAGACACAAGCGGCATGAAGTGCACCAAAGAGTTTGTACCCAAGCAGTTTCAGGATTTGAATGATCAAATATCGAATGTCATCCGAGATGTGTTGACTCATGGAAGAGATCATCACCCCCTAGATGAAGATCACCCAACGACGGATGAGTCCTCCATATTTGGAAATAGAATGTGACTCCCACTTCTTTGATTTTGTTTGATTGGCACCGATCGATCGACATTTGTTCCGGCGCACTGATGAGCCTCGTCAGTCTAAGGATGACTTCTCTTTACAAATCTATGAGTTTGAGCCTCTAGAACAATCTAAGATTCCAGCCCTAAAATCATAAAAGTGGTGGTCCGATCCAACTAACCACATAATCTCGTATGAGTCAATCGTGTGCTTGTGATGATCACTGATGCACTGAAATACCATCTTTTATTTAACACGTTGTGGGAGTCATCCACCGAGAGTAATCCTATCATTCATTTATTTCAACTGAAGGCTGTGATATAGTTTGTCAATGCCCATAACCCTTAGAAGAACTCACACGCTCTCCTGCAAATCCATCGAGGATAGAGTGAGAGCCTACACTCATCCATCACATGCTTTATAGAAGGAGATGTTAGAAGTGCAGGGCATGGAACATGCAGTCGCCCATGCTGACCTAACTCAACGGCTAATGGAAAGACCCTTTTGATACATGATAGGCTTGCAGTAGGCAAAAATGCTTGTTTAGCTGTTAGATCTAGCCAACATCCACACACAAGCCGAACAGTATAAATCCAACCCCCTTTTCTATATGCATATTCCTTCACTTGTAGTCCACAAAAAAAAAAAAAATGCTGCTTAAGGTTAATGATGGGGACCGAGACACGATATATGACTTGCCGCTTGTTCTCTCCATGAAGATGCTCGACCACCCGGAGATCATAGAGCATTCGACAAAATACATCACCTGGGGAATTTGGCCCAACCTCCTCACCAAAGCTTCACTCGGTATGAAAAACGATCACCACAAAACCAAGAAGCGCCCAAAATAATTATGTTTTGAGTTTTAATAGCCGAGATAGTAGAGACCATACAAAATAAGATCTACTTTAAGAGAGCACTCTCGATAAAGACCATAGCTTATCAATTTTAGTACCATTATGTTTGTTTTGTCGAAATAGCCAATTTAACAGTAAACTTGCTGAAATGAGGGCTTTGATGATTTTAAATTTAAAATTTGAAGATCACTTTAAAAGATTCATAAAAAAATTTGTTGATGACACATCACATGCATGCCACACAATTCTTATGCATTTCCTTACCTAACACACAAAGAATAATATTCTTATCTAACACATAAATCATAATATTTATACTTATAACACTTTGATATTAAAATAATACATGTTCACTTTTATAAAAGTTAGTGAATGTAAGGATTTTAATGTTATATATTTAAATATGAAAATGTAGATATTAAAAATGGAAATATATATAAATTGTGTGATTTGTATTTAAATAGGTTTGAAAATTTTTATTTTTATTTTCCAAAAATTCAACATCAGAAGTCTTCAAATTTTTGTTATATTGGGTGTAGTACTGTAGTCAGTTTCAGTTTTTGCTCTGTTCTGTTCTCGTCGGCTCAGCTCAACCCCAACAGAGAAACCAGAAAGCGAAGGATTAGGGTCTCTCCAGCCTATCGAACGCTCTCTTCCACATCGATCGACAGCCAGATCCAGGATTAGGTTGGGTTTTCTCTCTTCCTCATTCGCTTTTCTTCCTCTCCTCTTCATCCCAGTCAGCCCTAGGGTTTGGATTCCGATATGCCTAGCTATGGCACTATCGAGACTGCGCCATGGCCGGAGCCGGGGGCCTCAACCTCCCGCACCGGCGATATTTTTTCCCGAGCTAAGGAACGCAGTAAGGCACTGATCGCTACTCGCCGGCCATGGCGGGAGCTCGCCGACCCATCGACCTTTGCTTGGCTCCATTCTTACAGCGATGCCATGACACGCTTCCGCTGCAACCTCTCTTACTTCAGCGTCAACTACGCTATTATTGTCCTACTTGTGCTATTCCTCAGCCTCCTGTGGCATCCGATCTCCATGATCGTCTTCATCGCCGTGTTCGTCGCCTGGTTTTTCCTTTATTTCTTCCGCGATGAACCGCTAGTCCTCTTCCGCCTCACCATTGACGATCGTCCTGTTCTCGCCACGCTATCCGTCGTCACAGTGGTGGCTCTGGTCTTCACTGGTGTTGGCCTCAATGTTCTCGTTTCGCTGATCGTAGGGCTCGTGCTGGTTGGTTTGCATGCCATATTTCGGGCTACAGATGATCACTTTTTGGATGAGCAAGAAGCTGAGAATAGGGGTTTGTTATCTGTGGTTGGGAGCACCATAGGCCAGAACTATGCTTGAGGAATTTGAATGTTCTTTTTATATTTGGTAGAGGATGGATTACGATTGATTCGTTGATGTTAGAAGTCGGCCATGTTGTTTGCTTCAGAGTTGAGGCCCTGGAATGGTTCTGTTTGCTTCACTGGGAAAACCACAGGCTAAAAGGTGATTTCTTGCGCCAGTTCATCCAGATCATGTTCTGTTTTGTATCAAAATAAGTTTGTATTTTTCTTTAGTCTAACATATCTTTGTTGGACGTGCCATCTTTTTGGGGGCTTTAGAAATGCTTTTTGTATTTGTCTATTTTGTTGACCGCTCACCACAAAACACACCTTGATGCTTTTTGTCCTTGTTTGTCATTAAATTCTACATAAAGTTGAGTGCATTATTGTATTATTAAAGTTTTTTGGTTTTTGATTACTGTGATGGAATGCATTCTTTTATGTTCTGTTACAAAAACTTAAATGGTATCATTTTATGCTTCTATTTATTTGGTTGCCTTTGTTGTATGATTGGTTTGAATTAACTTCCAATTTTTAGACACATTTTCAAAATTGCATAAGGCTATAAATATTGGAATGATTTCCCTGAGATGATTTAGTGTATGATGCCCTCCTATTAGAGTTACATGTCCTCTGAAATTTTTATAAGGCAATTGAAGATGTCTGGAAATAGTCAATATTTAGCTATCATTGCCAACTTTATTTACTTTACATTTTTGAAGGGTCATGAAGACTCTGTTTGCAAACTTATCATATTTTTTTATGTCTGAGTGGATTTTTCTTTTCTAGTTTATGCTATTAGGTGGACCAGACTTATTCGCCAATGCCAATCCCTTTAACTATGACCTAGCGGAAGGAGTGCAAAGCCTGACATAGTTTAAATATTTTTAGCTAATAAAGAGAATCGAGGGACTTAATTGCCAGGAATAGGGCAACGTTATATACGATGATTGGCAACTCACTCAAACTAACAGTACTTGCTTGTCTTTGAAAAAGGAATCATTTACTCTTCATATCAAAGCATTCAAGTGAAACATTTTTGTAAAAGAATGCCTAAAACTTTCTAATACAAAATCTTTTAGAGCCTAAAAGAACAACCATTTAAAGTGGATATGAAGTAGAAGAGTTAATGCTTGGAGTTAAACCTTACTGTCTGTCAGAAACTCAAATTGTGGTTGAAGACTTTCCTCATGTCGTCTTCATCACCTTCACTAATTTGGTAAAGGATGATCGTGTTATGGATATAGGTCTGATATATTGAACACTGGAATAAGGGTTATCTGATTTTTTAGCTCATTCTAGCATGCATTTGGTCAGAACTTTTTTGTAATTCAGCATGGATTGATCTTATTTTTCTTGAGCTGATGGTAGGTAGTGGGTAGGAAATCTCTCCTTTCACAGGAAACACCCTCAGCAAATCACATGTATTCTGTCTCTCAGCAGTTTGTACCTTTGCATCCTTCTTGTTCTTCTTCTTTGATACCTTAAGAGTCCTATTGTATGAATAATATCGACCTATTGTGTCATTTAAGCAACTTGGTTAAGAACTAAAACAATCAAATGCCACAATGTGACCCAGGGCGTGGAATTAACCAAGGCTCGAACGGACGGTTGGACGGATGAATTAAATTTTCTATATTAACGGACAATTTAACAGATGAAAGAGAAACTTAAAATTAAATTAAAATAATAGAATTTATAATTATCTCGTTGATGGTTTTCTGCATCTTCTATAAATGTTTTCCCTTCTATCGCTCATCTTTTAATAATTTGATTAAACTTGAAAAGTTATTTAAAACAACTGTGAGTTAAAGTACCAATGAATACTCGTACTTCTAAACCAAAAGTAATACAAGAAAATTATGTATGCCATTTAAGCTTCTTTATAAACTAACATAAACATGTAAGATACCATTCGTAGGGATCTATATTATTATCATATTAATATCATTTCATATCTATATAACTGCCACAGGAGACAGTGTGTAAAAATTTGTGTCAATTAAGACACATTAATATAAATATCATTTTCCATTTACGTTCACGAGTACATTGATGCTCCCCTATTAGTATCATCAAGGGGTGTTCCATCATAGTCAGTAGTGCACATACAAACAGTCAACACAAACATATGTGCTTATCACATTCAATCATACTATTTAAAACATACACTAAAATAAATGAGTAAATAGTTACAACATTCACAACTATATGACCAATAAAGAAAAAAATAACTCAGTTAGAATAAGACATCCACAAATATCATTAACTGCAAACATATTTGAGAAGAAACAAATTATTTTTATAGTTTAAAAGTACAAGTACTCATTTCAATTACCGATTAATTTGCCTTGACGTCGAATAAGCACAATAGTCGTGTTTATTATGTTATTACAAATTAAATAAATTATCTTATTTTTATTTTATCTAATATATATATATATATATATATATTAAAAAAAAACAAACTAACCCTACCGCTTCACCTTTGGCGCGACTGCGCTCATGAAAGGATCTCCTTCCTCCACACGCAATCGCTTGCCATTCTTCCTCTTCGGTTCCTACACACGAGAACCCTCGACGTCCCCTCCTCATGCGACATAGCTTGGCTGTTCTCCTTGCTTTTCCTCTTCTTCCTCTTCACGCGAGTGGCTATGGGTTGAATCTTCTACTTCGATCAAACCCACACGCAACTCCGACTCTCTTGGTAAGTTCTTGCCTGTCGCGTCTATATATAGTGCGAACTTCTCTCTTTAGCTTCCGATCTCCTCGCTCCCCCCCTCCTTGGTTTCCGTCTCCTCGTTTCTTCTCCCATTCCATTCGTTTGGCTCGACCCCTCCCCTTCCACTTCCAAGATTCTTCGTTTCCACTCCCCTATTGACAAAACCGTTACATCCAACCCGTAGATGTGTTGCATTCAACTTCAAACTAGAAGTATTAGAACTTCAACTAATTTTAGTTTACTCAAGTTAAAACTAAAATTAGCTTAACTATGTTTTATACTTCTCTTTTAAAGGCCAACATTTTGCGCCGTAGAGCATTGCAGGCTCACCACAATCTTATAAAATTTTCCTTTTAGTCTAAGCAGTACTTTTCTATCACACAATAATCCCGAACTCTTGATGCATTCCTCCACTTCAACCAATTTGATTTCTACTAATTACATCCCCATCTATATTATCGTTTCTTTGAACAATAGACTCGAGATATCTAAACATTCACAAATTTAATGATTTGATCACCCATAGTTACAACTCTGCCACTATTACAACTCTGCCACTAGAGCTACTATTATTAAAATTACATTTTATGTATTCAATTTTAGATCTATAAAATTTAAACGATGGCTGAAGGCTTTTATACTTCAATGTAGGCCTCCATAATTCAAGTTTTTTTTGAATTTTCCTCTAGTTTTATCCACAAGAATGAATCATCAACGAAAAGCATACACCAAGGTACATGCTCCTGTAAATTTCCAGGAAGAGCATCCATAACTAAAGCAAAAAGTTATTGGCTTAAAGCTGATCCCTGATGTAATCCAACTAAAATAGGAAAATACTTGGTCAATCTTCTTTCTATTCGAACACAAGTAACAACTCTAGTATGCATATCTTTAATGACTTGAATGTTAGTCATATCAACACATTTCTTCTCTAGAACTCTCCAAAGGACTTCTCTCAAACCTTATCATGAGTTTTTTTTTAATTAATAAAAATTATATGCAGATCCTCCTTATTCTCTTTGTACTTCTCCATCAAACCTCTCAATAAATGCATAACTTCCATAATAGACCCGCCCGACCTAAATCCAAACTGATTATGAGAAATTTTTGTATAATGTCTTAACCTATGTTGAATTACCCTCTCCCATAATTTAAAAATATGAACATTAACTTAATTCTTCTATAATTTGCACACTCTTGTGCATCCTTTTATTCTTAAAAATGAAGATCACAATACTCTTCCTCCTCTTCTCAGACATCTTTTTAGTTTTTAAAAGAATATTAAAGAGTTTGGTAAACCCAAAAACTACCAAATTTCCTAAATTTTTTCACACTTCAATTAGGATATCATGTCATGTTGATTTTTCACCATTGGTTTTCCTTAAAGCCTCATCTTCTTTCTTTACTAATGCGACGGTAAAAATAAAATGTTTTATTATTATTAACGATATTTAGATTACTAAGGTAGATCGTATTTTCAGAAACTTCATTTAAAAGTTTATTAAATAGCTCACCCACCTATGTTGAATATCTTCTTCTAAGAAAAATGCTTTTTTTATTTTCTTCTTTAAAACACTTTACTTGAATTAAGTCTTTACTTTTCTTTTTTATTTGTTTGGCTAGTTTATATACATATTTTGCGGCCTTTTAATATCTACTCTATTATAAAGATCATTAAAAGCGAAATTTTTTGCATCATAAATTGTTATCTAAGATTACATATGAGACACTTTATATTTTTCTCCATTCTCAAAGCTTTTACATTTAAACTAATTTTTATAACTTAACTTCTTATATTTTATATTTTTTTTATACATTTTTATTCCATCACGAACTATTTTTATTTATAAAAACTTTTTCTTTTGTTTCACTTTTTCTTTTGTTTCTCCCTTTTGTTTCTCCAAGTATATCTTTAACCACTTGTTTAATAGTATTTGTTTATTTATTCCACATTGAATTCACTTTTTATGAACTTCCCAAATGTTAAAATCTTGAACTTCACTCGTAAAAATAATTTTATTTATCTTTTATAAACCCCAATCTAATTCTATTACAATATTTCGTCGTATTCTTTCTCTTACAACCAAATCTTAAAATCCAGAACTAATAATCAATGTTGTGTACTTAAATTTTCACTTGAAATGATCTTACAATCTTTACACTCTTAATGATTTCTTTTTCTCATAAGAAAAAAATAAAGTTGTCTTTATTAGATACTCTTATAAATATAAATTTATATTCATAATAAAAAACTACAAACCTTTTTGCTAAAATGATTTAAAGTTTTTTTTAAAGTAAATAATGGGAGTTTTAGGTCTATTAAGTAATCCAAAGTTTGACAAGTAATTCAAAAGTCTTCCTCCAATCTTAAATGCAGTTTTGCAATCATATGTAGGCTCAATTCTAATTTTTGATCCTAAATTCTAAGATTAAGTTTTGAAAATGTGCTTGACCCATCTTACATTTCTAACATATTGTTAAGTTGTGGGATTAAAAAACGATATCCAATTATGATTTTATTGATAGATTGATAATCCACATACATTCTCGTTATCATATTGTTCTTTGTGGTAAGAACGGCTGACACGACACAAAGGCTAATGCTTTCTGGAAATTATGCCCTTATTAAATACCTCTTAAATTTGTCGCTGTAGTTTGGCATGTT